CGTTGACTTTTTGTACTGCAATACTAGTTGTATCTTGTATCTGGTATCGGGTATCTCCTGCATTTACACGTACCTTAACTGTAGTTTTCTGCCGCGGCTGAAAGTTGTTTGGTCTACGCTCGTTTCTCTATGTTTGTTTATACATTTTCCAGTTAGTTGAGATTGTTCCAGTGCAGTTTGTCTGCTGGCTTGACGTTAATTTTCCTTGTAGTTTTTGCGCCGCTCTTCCTTAGTCGGCGCTTTTCACGGCCATTTGGTGTCCAATGAACGGGTTTTCCTACAACGACAAAGTACATATATAAAGCGATTTTTATTATGTTTTGATGGCGCCAATATTGTTACTCAGTGCTTGCTTTTTCCGGCAACTCAAATTCGAGATAAATCAGAAATTGGGTCAAGAGTAGGTGGCTCTCTTGTAATGCGACAAAAAGATACAAATTTCTTTTTAACATAAATTAATAATATTCTGTGGTTCTCATAAGCTTCAAATGGGATTAAAACATTTGGCTATTATTTATATGACCTACGATAAAGAGCTAATAAATTAAGAAAATCTATGAACACTTTTTGATTTGTGATCTATATTTTTCAATCTGACATACAAATATGGTATAAATTTGTATACTTTATATATAAACATTTGTCTAAAACATTTAGAAGTAAAACCAAACATGGTTTTTGTAAAAAATCAAGTCGCTCGATAAGTTTATCCAAAAATGAGCACCTTTTGTATAACAGTTTATTTTAAATTAAAAATTTTAATTTTATTTTTAGGGATAAATGGGTTACCAATTGACCTATAATAACGAATTTTCTAAAAAATAATTCTCGTCGCCGTTTATCTTTTATTCACAACGATTGGATTGAGAACAAAATTGAAAAGCCGTTCCTGGGCACAAAAGAAAGCAATCTAGCTGTCAAATAAAATCGCCATTAACTGAACCACTTCCGATGAGCAACAAAAGATGTGTGGTGGCATACATATGACGTATGCTATTCATCTTTTGTTGTTCGGCGGCCATTGAAAGTGCTTCAGGTAATATTCCATCTTTGATCAAGATATTAATCTCGGTGCTTGCACTTTGACCCTATTATTGCTCCTTTATTCTGACTCTGAACTTAATTGGCACAAGTCTGAGACCTCTGTGGCATTCTAATTAGCTGAAAATTGTCGCTGATTCGGGCCTAGACAAGAGGCATTCCATTCCACAAACTGTTTTAGCCGTTTATAATCATGTTTCCAATGCAATCAATTAGGCCGCATTACGCGCACAGCTGCATACTGGAGTGTTACTTACGAGTATTTTTTTTAACGAGCTGCGACTTAGTTGCTCTCTGCAAACGTACGTATGCGTAATGTGCATAAACGACATATGTTTCATGTAAGCGTCGCGTTGTTATGGCTTTTCATATTAAAGGCATTCTATTAAAGTGCCATGGCGGCTTATGTCATGCCGAAAGAAATAGCCATAAAGCTGCGAGTACACAATTGCTATAAAAATAATGACCAGCTAAATCAAGTTTAGGGAGTCGCCAGCAGCAGAACTCGCTCCCCACCCAAAAAAGCAAATGATGTAAGTTCTTCGCGGGTTCAAGTCGAGTCGAAGACCCAGCTCCAACCGTTAGGTGGCTTTAAGGGTTAGTAGCTAAGAAACATGGAACTTAGACTTTAAACAGAGAACCGAATAAACGATGTTAAAAAAAACACTTTCAAAGTTTGATATTTTTTGCGGCTTTGGAACACTTCATTTAGAAAATTAACTGCTAGAGTTTAAAAAACAAATGAATTATTTAGTTTGAAGTTATATTTTGGCTGTTTTCCATTTCCCAAATTCTAGAAGTGTTTTGGAAATGTTTTTATGGTAATGCCTACACAGAAAAAAAATGGACTAAAGATCAGAATGATTTGTGCAGGTTAATTTAATATTTTTTAAATATCAAGTTAATCTTATCATTTTGAAATGAATAAAGATTATGTTTATCTTATTTAACAATATTTGTTCAAAAAATTCTATATTTGGTATTTTTATACCCTTGCAGAGGGTATTATAATTTCACTCAGATGTTTGCAACGCAGTGAAGGAGACGTTTCCGACCACATAAAGTATATATATTCTTGATCAGCACCAATAGCCGAGTCTATCTAGCCATGTCCGTCTGTCCGTTTCTATGCGAACTCGTCTCTCAGTTTTAAAGCTATCGCGAGGACACTTTACCGAAAGTCTTCTTTCTATTGCAGGTAGTACATATGTCGGAGCGAGCCGGATCGGACCACTATATCTTAAGGCTCCCATAGGAATATTCAAACAAATATAAGAAAATTCATTGTAACTTTGTAGAAAGTAGTCGTTTTGATTTTTGATAACTTAAAAACAAAATTTAAATGGGCACGCTGAATCTGGAATCCCTGGAACTGCACCGAGTGAGCATTAAACTATAGGTATTTACTTTATCTGCAAGGGTATATAAGCTTCGGCTGGCCGAAGCTAGCTTCCTTTCTTGTTAAAAAGTATTTTTATGACTTTTCTGACATGATAAAATATTAATTTTATATTTTTGAATCATAAATTTGACATTATTCATATGGCTTTTTATTAATATAAAATAAGGTAAAAATTACCCTATTTCTATAGGTTTTTTTACGCAAATTTGAAAACGCAAACTAAAAATATTTGTATAGTAGCTTACAGTGTCTCGTTAAATTAAAATAAGAATATAATTGGGCTGTGTTTCATACTTATAATAAGGTTATATTGAAACGCCTTTTAGAGACAATCTTCTTATAAAAGAATAACCAAATTTTGTTACTATCAGAAGTGAAATAACTTTGTTGTTTACTCTTGAGCTGTTGAAAGTTATTTTCAGACTTATGCAAGACTTGAGGTTCATTTGTTTTCGACAACTGTTCTGTTGTTGGCTTTCACTCGAGTGCTTTCTGCTCTTTTAATAATGATTCAATTACATCTATCTTAATGGCACTTGAAAATGGCCAGCTCTCGACTGGCAGGCAGATTACGTTTTCGGAAGGTAACAAGCTTTCCCTGCATGTTGTTTTTGCCGCTGTCAGTCGCAGCATTTCCGTGAGATTTTATTGCATTTTTATGTGACAATTTCTCGGGCAAGCACACGCATCCGAACATCGCAAATGCTTGACTCGACAAGCGGTTATGTAAAGCTTTAAGTATTTGCATTTCATTAAATTGTATCAATGCTCGGCCAGACTTTCGGTTTCAGTCGAACGCATAGTGAACGTATCTAATAGATTACTAATTTCACTTTATGCGTGCTTGTAACTTAGTTCGCCAAGTGTGGTGTGATTTGTGTTAGCGTGCAAATATTTTAAAGAGTTTTTTAACTCTTTCTATATTTCTTTGGTTGCGTTTTAGTGAAATCTATAGCCGAACGAAAAGCAAACTCACTTTCGTTGCGGTTAACCAACTTGACTCACTAATGGCTTATTAAGTCCAAATAGTTCGGATTCAACGTACTTTTTATGATCCATCTGCCGGGGAGCGCAGCAAATTGACTGTGATTATTGGCAGGGGGACAATAAAAAATCAAATAAAAATAACTCGAGCTCGGAATAAATTCATTCTGCCACCGCATTTCTCCGCTTATATTGCTGCGGTTTATCGCCTGCAAATTATGCTGAAAGGTTTCAGTTTCAATTAAATGTGATTATTTGGAGTGAACCACAATTCGAGCTCGGCCCAATACATTTGTTTACTTTCTTCTGGCATGCTCTTAATGTGTGTATCACTGTAAATACTCCATTATTTTTGGTTTATTTTCGTTTCGAGAATCTACAAGCGGTGAACACGCAATCCGAAAGCACTAATTGGGGTTCTAATGTGTACTAGAGCGCGTTAAGATTCCCATCTCGCATGCGCTAATAACTCAAGGTAGGCGGGGAAGGTCTTTAAGAACTTTTCGAAGGCAGCTGGCAAAGCCATAAAACCGCAGGAAATTTCACTTTTACCCACTGGGTTAAATGCACATGGACATGCATCGCATTTCCCCGGCAAACAGGTTTCCATTTTTTCGGTTGATAAGTGCAACCGGCTTGCCAGCTGTTGGCTTTTGTTTTGCTGGTCACTCAGGCTACTTAAACTGGGTCAAATATTTGCATTCCAGTTCCAGTTCGATCGGAGTGGGTATATTTGGCTTCCTGCTGTTACCTACTCACTTGGAAAAAGATGATCTACCAGCAATTAACACGCGAAATCACGTCGACCATTGACTCACAATTCTTGGGCACAATTTGTTGTTGCTTGCCTTGGCGTGACGCCTAATTAGCAAGATATTTTTTATTTGTCCGCTGGTCACTTTCGCTCTCGGTTTTCACAAGAAGAAATTTGTTAGATTTGATTTCCAGAATCCGCCGTGTCTTTCACTTTTTACAGTTTTTACAGTTGCCAACAAAAACAAGCAGAGAGGCGCGATAAGCGTGGAAGGCCGGCGACCGTGGAAGACAAACTGAACGGAGGTGCCGCCACACAAAAGATGCGGCCAACTTTGGGTGTTGGTAGGTGAGTTTAGTCGTACAGATACGGATACATAGAAGATATATACGGATACTGACAGCAACACACACGAACAGTAAGAGAGATGGAGAGAAAATAAGCATTTCTGACTGCCTGAAAGTATGCGACAACTTTGACGGCTGATTGCAAAATGCCTTGCTTGAGACTCACAGTAAAATCTGCCTAGTCCACAAGAAACCTTGCCTCATTTCGAATAAATTACATACCAATTTATATTAATTTGGCAATCATTAAATGTAAGTTGTAGTTGTAATTTCTCTTTAATTGTCGAATAATTCTTTCACCTTTTACTAACAATTTAAATATTATTTCAAATAAAATACCTATATAAAATATATTAGGAACATATAAATTAATTTGTATTTTCCGTAATTTGTTGCTCTTTTTCTCCTATAATTTTACTGAATTTGTAATTTATCTCTGAAAGTGGTATACCTGTAGTTATGGGTCTGAGTCTTTATTTTCCTCTGTTCCTTTAATTATTCAATTAGCTTGCTGCTTCTGTTGTCTCATTGTCGACAATGGTTTCGATGGATTTTACTTCACTGCCACTGTGGCTACTGCTGCTCAATAGTAATCTTGTTGGCTCAGTAGGATTTGTTACTGAAGCTTTAGTTGTCGAGGTAGTTGTATTTGTCGTTGTTTTACGCCATTTTCCCCACCACTTTTTATACCCGTTACTCGTAGAGTAAAAGGGTATATTAGATTCGTGCAAAAGTATGTAACAGGTAGAAGGAAGCGTTTCCGACCCTATAAACTATATATTCTTGATCGGGATCACTAGCCGAGTCGATCTAGCCATGTCCGTCTGTCCGTCTGTCCGTCTGTCTGTCCGTCTGTCTGTCTGTCTGTCTGTCTGTCTGTCTGTCTGTCTGTCTGTCTGTCTGTCTGTCTGTATGAACGCTGAGATCTCGGAAACTATAAAAGCTAGAAGATTGACATTTTGCATGCAGATTCTAGGAGTTCCTACGCAGCGCAAGTTTGTTTCAAAAGGGTGCCACGCCCCCTCTAACGCCCACAATCGCTTATATACGATTTTAAAAATTTCAATATTTTGGAAAAGTAAAAATGCAGTTTTATTGTGTTTATCAATACCTATCGAAATGTAGAAGAAATTTTTTAAATCGGACCATTCGTTAAAAAGTTACGGCGGATCAAAGTTTTTCTCCATCTCTTTCGCACTCCCTTTAGGTGAGTAACGGGTATCTGATAGTCGGGGCACCCGACTATAGCGTTCTCTCTTGTTTTGGCTATTTTGGTTGGCTGGCCTCAACCGATTCTTGATAGGGCTCTGCCATTCAGATTCGTTGTCTTGTTGGAAAGAGCTTCTAAGTAGATTTTCAGACATCATCTCATTAAAGCCCACTGCAATTTGGTCCTCCACTTTGTCCTTGGATGGTCCTCTCATCGGAAGCATCTGTGGGTTGAGCATGAAAGGAATGGGATATGGGATATAGACCGGAAGGGGATAGAAAACAGGTTGAGTAGCCATTGTATCCATTGGTCCATGGGCACTTATTGGGGAACTCTCCCACATTCCCGGCATCAGCAATAAGTCTTGCAATGGAAGCTTCTGTTTTTGTCCATGGCTAAAAGTTGATTTCTTCTTCTGAGGAGGTTGTGTTTTTTTAGTTAGCTTCTTACTGGTAGCTGTTGTATCAGGCATAAGTGTGGTCTCAATTTCATGTTCCGATTCAATTGACTCTCCAAATGTTGGCTTAGCTATGGGATTTGTAAGCACAATCAGTGGAGTTTTCGGATCATCTCCGCTGGCTTTCAGCACTGCTAAGGGCTGCTCACTTAGTCCAAAAGTTTGATTTGTTAGGCTTAACAGAAGGGCGACTACTGCTAAATATTATAAAATTATATACACTTTGTAAGACATTTTTTTACGTACCACTATAAAGTATCTTCATGGCGATGTTAAGTAAACTAAACATCTTTCGACAGTTTTCGCTTTTTATATGTCTGGCTTGAGTTGGAAAGTGGGTCTTTGCTAATCAATTTTTAATAAATTTGCTAATTGACAAAATGTGCTTTTTAGAATATTTATTTTTTATGATCAATGCTTTCTACAGATGTTTTAAAAACTGGTGTGTGACGAGTGTAGAAAAATTGTAATATGTTATGTTATATATTTTTACCTTTACACCACTCCTAGGGCCTTCCGGACGCAGCAATAGTAATAACAAATTAACTAGTCTTAAGGAACACAAAAGACCCAATCGAAATGTTAATATAATGACTGATAAGATTGAGCTGTAGCAGTACGCTAGTCAAACAATAAAATCTAAAAAAAACATTTGGAACGACAAAAAATTCTCTTCCTTTGCGAGTTAAGTTTTAAAGCGGACGTCTACATCAATTAACTCCCATAGGAAACTCTCTCGGGGTTTTTTATGAAATTTACGCACTGTAAATGGTATCGGCACAAACCTTTACGAATCTTAGTTTAAACGAACGCCTCACTTTATTCACTACATCCTATAACTCTCAGGAAAAAACTCACTGTTTCTTTTTATTTGTCCCATTTTAATTTGAATACTTTGTAAGTCAAGCATTCGTTCATTTGTTGTTCTAACTTACTGGTATACATACATAGTTAAACAAGTTAAACAAATTTCTTAAATAAGTTCAGATAGGAAAAAAGAAAAAATAATGTTCAATTAACAACTCGGTGTTTTTTCTAAAAGCTGCATTAGCTAAAGCTATATTCTCATCGATTTGGTCACAAACATTTACGTTTAATCAACTACTTAAATGCTTAGCGGCCAAGCGAAATGAAAAAAAATGTAAACTAAAGAGCTGGGGAAAAAATGGCGAAGATGGTTTCGTACTAACTGAACTCTCCCACATTCCCGGTAATGACAGAAATTGAGATGGTAAATAACTTTGAGGTCCATAATTAAAGTAAAGGTCATGTATATTAGGTGGCTGAGTGGGATCGGTTTGCATACACCCAGAAAAAAAAAGACCTAAAATGTCAAAAAATGGCCTAGAATTTAGGTAAAATTGGCCTAAAACTGGAGCTAAGTCCTTGAATGGCCTAAAATGTAGGATTGTATGACCTAAAATGTTAGGCCATTAATGGCCTAAAATGGGGTAATTTTTGGCCTAGATTTTAGGTAATTGGCTGCCTTAAAATATGAGAAAACCCCTATCCAAAATTTTAGGCTTTCTTTGGCCTAAAAATATGTACTGAAAAATGTTTCATATTATAAAGTAAATACAGAGAAATTTATAGCTAACTCGAGGTCAATGTCAGCTTAGCCTTCAAGAAGTCGTCATTATGCCAACACACAAAAACGAGCGAAGAGGCTTTACTGTTTAGCAGTGAAATCGCTGTCTTATTCAACGATCGAAGTGGGTTACCATGCAAGCCGCGCTATAACTGGTTGGGAAATATAGCGTCGCTAGAACGTTATCAGAGTTCCGTGCAAATTTATTTAGGTAAAATGCATTAATTTTAAGGCCCACGATGACCTAAAATATTAGGCTATACGGGACCTAAATAGTAGGGCAAATATACCAAAAATTTAAATTATTAGGCAGTACATGACTTAAAAAGGAACTTTTAGTCCATTTAAAATGTTTTAGGCTATGCATGACCTAAAATGTTGTCCATCATTTTTCTGGGTGTAGCTGTTTCATCCCCTTCACATGGCAGTGTTTTTTCGGTCGTTAGAAAGGTTTCTAAATCCTTAGCCTCCATATATGGATTGGATTATGGATTATGATACGATTGCCAAAAATAAATCTTAGACTGCGTACAAAATATAGCCCACATGACCCACATTTTAGGTAATGCATGGCCTTGGCGCCTTTTTCTGGCCATGTTTCCTAAAATTTTAGGTAATTAGGCCCCTTTTTAGTCCATTTTGTTTTCTGGGTGTAACCGGCTTAATTAAGATGTGTTTTGGCCAGATTAAATGTGTGGTTCGTACATCCTTTCTAGTATTCATAGCTGCTTGGACAAACGCCATTTTAAAAAGTCACATTAAGCCTGACATAATTGCTGTTTGGAATGATTAATGCTTACAATCAAACGATAAACCACAGCCCTCCCCAAAACTTACCATAATTCCAGAACTTCATGATAACGTGAAATCTATTACTCGTAGAGCCATAGGCTTAGCTTTTTATATTTATAAGTAAGATAGATTTAGAAAGTGGGTTGGCTTTAAAAGCAATTCTTAATTAATGCGCTAATTAATAACAGCGAAAGTTTATGATGTAGATTAGATATTTTTTTAATGATGTGTGTCGTTTAGCGCCGAAAATAAGAAATGTTAATTTAGGCTAAGAACCGGGGGTCATACAAACAGGATGCTTTTATAAAATCAAGCAAAATCTCTTTTTTTACCTTACCGCCATACAAAAGCAATCGGCTTTTCACTCTTCCTGATAAAAAATATAAATACTTTGGGAAACCCAACTTTCTATCTTATACAAACTTTAAAGCTAATACAATATATTATTTTACTCAAGGAGTTCACCATCAAAGTCGTTCGGAAAAAATCTATCATACTTAGACCACCAAAGTTAAATCCAACAAAAATGCTATTTGCATTGTGTCACCCGCACCCCTAAGAAACGCAAGCAAATATATTTTTCATTCCTAATTATTATGATGGTGGAATTGCAGTGGAAGTGGTTGTAGCTTCTGTTGTCGTGGTAGTTGTAGGAGGAATTGCAGTAGAAGTAGTTGAAGCTTCTGTAGTCGTGGTAGTTGTAGGCTGAATTGCAGCAGAAGTGGTTGTAGCGTCTGTTGTTGTGGTAGTTGTAGGCGGAAGTGCAGTAGAAGTAGTTGAAGCTTTTGTTGTCGTGGTTGTTGTAGGCGAAATTGCAGTAGAAGTGGTTGTAGCTTCCGTTGTGGTGGTAGTTGAAGGCGGAATTGCAGTAGAAGTGGTTGTAGCTTCGGTTGTGGTGGTAGTTGTAGGCGGAATTGCAGTAGAAGTAGTTGAAGCTTCTGTAGTCGTGGTAGTTGTAGGCGGAATTGCAGTAGAAGTGGTTGTAGCTTCTGTAGTCGTGGTAGTTGTAGGCGGAATTGCAGTAGAGGTGGTTGTAGCTTCTGTTGTGGTGGTAGTTGTAGGCGGAATTGCAGTAGAAGTGGTTGTAGCTTCTGTTGTGGTGGTAGTTGTAGGCGGAATTGCAGTAGAAGTGGTTGTAGCTTCTGTAGTCGTGGTAGTTGTAGGCGAAATTGCAGTAGAAGTGGTTGTAGCTTCCGTTGTGGTGGTAGTTGTAGGCGGAATTGCAGTAGAAGTGGTTGTAGCTTCCGTTGTGGTGGTAGTTGTAGGCGGAATTGCAGTAGAGGTCGTTGTAGCTTCTGTAGTCGTGGTAGTTGTAGGCGGAATTGCAGTAGAAGTGGTTGTAGCTTCTGTAGTCGTGGTAGTTGTAGGCGGAATTGCAGTAGAAGTGGTTGTAGCTTCTGTAGTCGTGGTAGTTGTAGGCGGAATTGCAGTAGAAGTGGTTGTAGCTTCTGTAGTCGTGGTAGTTGTAGGCGGAATTGCAGTAGAAGTGGTTGTAGCTTCTGTTGTCGTGGTAGTTGTAGGCGGAATTGCAGTAGAAGTGGTTGTAGCTTCTGTTGTCGTGGTAGTTGTAGGCGAAATTGCAGTAGAAGTGGTTGTAGCTTCTGTTGTCGTGGTAGTTGTAGGCGGAATTGCAGTAGAAGTGGTTGTAGCTTCTGTAGTCGTGGTAGTTGTAGGCGGAATTGCAGTAGAAGTGGTTGTAGCTTCTGTAGTCGTGGTAGTTGTAGGCGGAATTGCAGTAGAAGTGGTTGTAGCTTCTGTAGTCGTGGTAGTTGTAGGCGGAATTGCAGTAGAAGTAGGTGTAGCTTCCGTTGCGGAGGTAGTTGTAGGCGGAATTGCAGTAGAAGTAGTTGAAGCTTCTGTTGTCGTGGTAGTTGTAGGCGGAATTGCCGTAGAAGTGGTTGTAGCTTCTGTTGTCGTGGTAGTTGTAGGCGAAATTGCAGTAGAAGTGGTTGTAGCTTCTGTAGTCGTGGTAGTTGTAGGCGGAATTGCAGTAGAAGTGGTTGTAGCTTCTGTAGTCGTGGTAGTTGTAGGCGGAATTGCAGTAGAAGTAGGTGTAGCTTCCGTTGCGGAGGTAGTTGTAGGCGGAATTGCAGTAGAAGTAGTTGAAGCTTCTGTTGTCGTGGTAGTTGTAGGCGGAATTGCAGTAGAAGTGGTTGTAGCTTCTGTTGTCGTGGTAGTTGTAGGCGGAATTGCAGTAGAAGTGGTTGTAGCTTCCGTTGTGGTGGTAGTTGTAGGCGGAATTGCAGTAGAAGTGGTTGTAGCTTCTGTAGTCGTGGTAGTTGTAGGCGGAATTGCAGTAGAAGTGGTTGTAGCTTCTCTAGTCGTGGTAGTTGTAGGCGGAATTGCAGTAGAAGTGGTTGTAGCTTCTGTAGTCGTGGTAGTTGTAGGCGGAATTGCAGTAGAAGTGGTTGTAGCTTCTGTAGTCGTGGTAGTTGTAGGCGGAATTGCAGTAGAAGTAGGTGTAGCTTCCGTTGCGGAGGTAGTTGTAGGCGGTTTTGCAGTAGAAGTAGTTGAAGCTTCTGTTGTCGTGGTAGTTGTAGGCGAAATTGCAGTAGAAGTGGTTGTAGCTTCTGTTGTCGTGGTAGTTGTAGGCGGAATTGCAGTAGAAGTGGTTGTAGCTTCTGTAGTCGTGGTAGTTGTAGGCGAAATTGCAGTAGAAGTGGTTGTAGCTTCTGTAGTCGTGGTAGTTGTAGGTGGAATTGCAGTAGAAGTGGTTATTGCTTCTGCTGTCGTGGTAGATGTAGGAGGAATCGCAGTAGATGTTGTTGTAGGCGGAATCGCAGTAGAAGTTGTTGTAGCTTCCGTAGTCGAGGTAGTTTTTGGCGGAATCGCAGTGGATGTTGTTGTATTTTCTGTTGATGATACCACGGCAGTTGAGGTAGATGTGTCCGGCGTTGTTGTGGTTAATGTAGGCGAAATTGCAGTAGATGTTGTTGGCGTTCCTGTTATCGCTGGAAGTGCTGTTGAGGTTCGGGGGTCTGTGGCAGATGTGTTAGGATCTATGATTGATGTGTTGGGGTCTGGAGTTGTCATTATTGAGTCTGGTGCTTTAGTCGATGTCCGCCTCCGCCGCCATTTACCAAAAAAATGATGAAGGACATTTCGCGTGCGAAATTCAGACTCATCCGCAATTAAAGAATGTTTAGGTATGTCTTTGTTTTTTTTCTCTTTAATAATTATTGCTTTTTGATTTTCGACTTCTTTAATCGGTGGGCCTTTTTCTGACTTCCTTTCAAATGACAACAAGATGGGAATCGGAATTTTCGACTCCACTGCTTGTACAATTGTTGGATGCAGCACATTTAGTGACGATTGTTGTTGAACAGCATCCGCCTGTTTTAAATATATGCCTGTTAAGCATAGTAAGATAGTAACAAGGGCTGAAAAAAATATTATTAAGGCACGGAAACTTTTAAACAAAACGGTCTGCGCCACTTACCAGTATAAAACGTCTTCATGCTGATCTTGAATTGACTAAGATATATTCGATTTATTTCTCTTTTATATCATTGATTTAGCCTCAATTGGAAAGTAGGTTAAACCAACCGCTAATTAGGGGAAGATAAACTTGAGTTACTTTTTTATGAATGTCTGGCGATTCAAGTGATTCTCTTATACTTTTCTTAAACTAAGAATTAGAAGGTTCTACCAGTGTTAAATATTGTGGAATACTGTCCAATCGCAAAAGCTTGCTAATTGTAAAATTAACCGAGCTTGAGGACTAATGCCTTGTCATCATGACGGCTAAAAATTGTGTCACTGTTAATGATTATACATAAATGATTGATATCCAATGTGTTAAAAAACACAGGAACACAAAATTAAACTTTGTGAAATTTCCACGAACCATTTCAAGTTTTCCATGATATGTGGGTGCTTCTGAGTAAAAGTCCCATACAAAATTATTTTCCATCACCTACAGGTTCCGCGGTACAGCTAAGAATACAAAAAACCGATGTTTACCGACATTTTGAATTACGTGGCTTATATAATTGGACTAACCTTTATTATTTTCGGTAGGACATACTCTCAATACATCACGGCATTCCTAAAAAATAGTCCCCATTGTGAACCATTGCCCATGTCTTTGGAATTCGACGCCAAAGGTGAAAATCCCAAAATTGTAGAGATTTTTCTGATGGAAAAACAATTCTGAGAGTTAAATCTTGAATGGAACTAATTTTAACTATTCATTGTATCTATTGTTCATTGTATGCTTTAATTTCGGTTTAAAGCGTTTTCATAAGGACATTTTATTGGATTTCTTATACTAATAAAACCGATTTTTTGATTTCATTATCTACTCCTAAATGTTGTCAAATTTTGAATAAGTCATGGCAACCTCTAGAACTAAGAAACTAAATACGTTCACTGAACATACATAGAGAAATGTATATGTTTACTTTCATTCTGTAGGATGCCTTGACTTTTTTAAAATTTGACAACATTTAGGAGTAGATAAAGAAATAGAAAAACGGTTTTATTAGTATAAGAAATCCAATAAAATGTCCTCATGAAAACGCTTTAAACCGAAATTAAAGCATACAATGAACAATAGATACAATGAATAGTTAAAATTAGTTCCATTCAAGATTTAATTCTCAGAATTGTTTTTCCATCAGAAAAATCTCTACAATTTTGGGATTTTCACCTTTGGCGTCGAATTCCAAAGACATGGGCAATGGTTCACAATGGGGACTATTTTTTAGGAATGCCGCACAGTGGGGCGAAAAAGCCAAAAGTCTGCCTTAAATCAGCGGAGCCCTATAGCGAATATCTTTTGATGGGGCATTCTTAAAGGCAATTAAATATGTAAAAAAACAAAATAAGGTGAATTTTTTTAGTGAAATTTTTTTTGTTGTAGAAAATTTTTAAGAAAAAAATAATCGTTTTTTTAAGAAAAAAAATATTAATAAATTAGTTATTGGGTTCTAAGTTTCCCAATATTTTTTTTTTAATTTAATTTGATTTTTGAAAAAAAAAATGATTCAAATCGGTCAACTATAACTTATAGCTGCCATATAAACGCTTATTACAAAGGGGAATGTCTCGGTTCTATTTCAATATTGGTTCATATAAATTGGGATTAAGGCATAATTTATCATTTTAGCTCTATGCTTACCTTTTTTTTTTAATTGGTCTATGATATCTTATAGATGTCATAGAATCAATCAAGGAAATATAGCATATTTAAAAAAAAAAACTGGTAGAAACCGGTATTTATTTCATATCTGTATTTTTAGTAAAATAACATAATTTAAAATTTTAAACCCAAATTTGTTTATTAATTTATCATTATCTTGATCAATACCTTCACATAAGTAAAATATCTTCATGATGTTAGGGCGCGCGGATAACCAGGGCTGACGATATTTCAAATTATGAACATTTCTTGCTAACTTAAACTGCGGTTTTCTCAGAAGAGGCACAAAAGGGCAGGCTAATTTTTTCAGAAAATGTAGTTAAATATCTAAACTTTTTTTAAAAAAAAGAATTAAACGGGGATCTAGGGTGTAACACTACTTTACGTCCAAAAATATCCAAAAAATCCCAATTTTTTTGGACCCCTTTTAAAAAATTAAAAATGAATAGTAATTATGTATCTAAAATTTTTATGGTTTTTTTAATATTTTAAGAATTGGTTGCTCTTAAAATTTCAATCGTTACATATACAACTTAGGCCCTTGGGCGCTTTCAGAAAAATTTCAAAGATGTGTAAAAATACCTTTTTTTCTTATTGGCTAAAATTATGTTTCGATAAATCCACTTTATAAATCTGTAGTGGGAGAACCATTCATCACCAATCACTCTTTCCTTTGGATTTGTATAGAGAATTGAATTGTTTTTAAAGTAGCATTGCAACATTTTGGATAATCTTTAAAAAAAAAAAACCATTTTGGCAGGCTTTTCTAGGCGCCCCACAGTGGGACCGTAATAGTTATAAGTTAAAAGATAAAAGTCATCGATTATTCATAATAATAATAATAATAACAATAATAACTGTTATTATACCCTTGCAGAGGGTATTATGATTTCAGTCAGAAGTTTGCAACGCAGTGAAGGAGACGTTTCCGACCCCATAAAGTATATACAGCTGTGAAAAAAATAATAGCACCACTAACCCAAAAAAACTTTAACTAGTCACCTTACTCACATTTTTTAAATTTTTTTAACTTTTCAAAACGGGTTTGAAATAGTAAGACTAAACATAATTTGAATATGAAAAAAAATGTTAGCTTTATGAAAGGTTTCTGGACTTATTTAAGAAAATCTATGCAAAACTGGAAAATGGCACGAAAAAAATAATAGCACCACTTCTCTAAAAATAGAATAAAAGGTAGAAAAATGACAAATTGGTAACTTAATCTTTAGTTGGCGGTAGCTAACAAGTAAATCTAAGTTTAAAGTGTAAATATCTTTTGCGATTTTTGGATATAATGACTACTATCGATTAAACAAGTCAGGACCCTACCTATAAAGGAATTGGGGCCCAAAAGTCATAATATATTTTCAAATTTTGTTCGAAAATGATTTAAGACGTTTTAGATTAACTGTATAAACTGTCTTTAAAAAAAAACCCGAAGATTTTTGGTTGTGTTATGGTCAAGCGAGTACACAAGTCAATGTATATTGCTTACTGAGTACTTTCGAACTCTTTCTTTGCTATCCTGACCGTGATCCGGATTTTATTGGTCAAAGATTCATTTAAGAAGTATATTGTATTCAGTTTAAGCTACGAATTACTACCGTATTACTATTTACATCATAGGATGATTCATGAACGATGTATTCATCCGTATTGATCTTACTTTAAGAAGGAAAAACAAGCCTAT